ATTATAGCCAAATTTCAGAGCTTTCAGGTCCAGGAGAAAATATTGCAAACAGCTAGAAAGAAACATTTCAAATATTGTGAAATCACAGTCAAGATAACATGAGATTTAGCAGTTTCTACATTAAAAGATCAGAGGGCTTGGAATATGATATTCCAGAAGGCAAAAGAGCCAGGATTATAACCAAGAATCACCTACCCAGCAAAACTACGTATAATTCTTTAAGGGAAAAAAATATTCAATGAAATAGAGAACTTTCAAGCATTCCTAATGAAAAGGCCAGAACTGAATAGAAAATTTGACTTTCAAATACAAGACTCAAGAGAAGAGTAAAAAGGTGAACAGGAAAGAGAAATCATAAGGCATTCAATGAGACTAAACTGTTTACATTTCTACATGGGCAAATGACACTTGTATTAGGACAGATTAGAAGGAGTATACATAGACAGAGCACACGGGTGTGAGTTGAATATGATGAGATGGTTATCTAAAAGAAAATTAAGGGGTGAGAAAGAAGAATGTGTTGGGAAAAAGGGGAAAAGGAGAGGTAGAATGGGATAAATTATCTGACATAAAAGAGATGTGAAAGAGATTCTACAGTGGAGGGGAAGATAGGGAAAGTGGGACTGAGGGAGTGTGTGAACCTTGCTCTCATTGGAATTGGCTCCAAGAGGGAGTACGCATTCAGTTGGGTATAGAAATCTATCTTACCACATAGGAAAGCAGAGGGGTAGGGGATAAGAGAAGGCAAGGCTGATAGAAGGGAGAGTGGATTGGGGTGATAAAAGTCAGAAGCAAAACACCTTTGATAATGGATGGACAGGGTGAAAGGAGAGAGAGAATATGATAGACAGAGGGAGAATAGGACGGAGGGAAATACAGTTAGTAATCATTAACCGTGAAAAAAAATTTACAGCAAATTTCTCTGATAAAGACCTCATTTCTCAAATATATAGAGAACTCAGTTAAATTTATAGAAATAAGGGCCATTCCTCAGTTGATAAATGGTCAAAGGATATGTCCTATAAGTTTTCAGATGAAGCAATCAAAGCTATCTATAGTCACATAAAAATGCCCTAAATCACTATTGATTATAGAAATGCAAATTAAAACAACTCTGAGCTACCACCCTTTACCTATCATATTGGCTAACATGACGGAAAAGGAAAATGACAAATGTTGGAAGGGATGTGGGAAAATTAAGACACTAATGCATTGTTGGTGGAGTTGTAAAATGATCCAACCATTTTGGAGAGCAATTTGGAATTATGCCCAAAGGGCTATAAAAATGTGCATACCCTTTGACCCAGCAGTAGCACTTCTAGGGCTGTATCCCAAAGAGAACACAAAAATGGGGAAAGGACCCATATGTACAAAAATATTCATAGCAGCTCTTTTTGTGATGGCAAAGAATTGAAAATTGAAGGGATGCCCATCAACTGGGGAATGACTGAACAAATTGTTGTATATGGTTGTGGTGGAATACTATTGTGCTACAAGAAATGACAAGCAGGATACTCTCAGAAAAATCTGGAAAGACTTGCATGACCCGATGCAAAGTGAAATGAGCAGAACCAAGAGAACATTGTACAGAGTAACGGCAATGTTGTATGGTAATATAACTGTGAATAACAGCTCTTTTCAGCAATACAATGATCCAAGGCAATTTTGAAGGACTTATGATGAAAAATTCTATCCATCTCCAGAGAAAGAACTGATGGAGTCTGAATACAGATTAAAGAATAATTTTCTTTATTTTTCTTTGAGTTTTTTTGTCTATTTTCTTTCACAGCATGACTTACATGGAAATATGTTTTGCATTACTGCACGTGCATAACCTATGTCAAATTGCTTGCCTTCTCAATGACAGAAAGAGAAGAATTTGGAACTCAAACTTAAAAAAAAGTTGAAATTGTTTTTACATGTAATTGGGGAAAAATAAAATATTAAATTATGAAGTAAAAAAAAGAATAAGAATGTCCCATGGTCATAGAAGCTTGCCTTTTTTTTTTTAACTTTAGGTCATGATCATGAAGAAATATTTCTGGAAAAGGTAGATGAACTGTGAGAAAAATCACCAATGCTTCTCTCCTTTTCCTCATCCCCCTTCCCACCTCTCTCTCTGTCTCTCTTCTCCCTATCTTTCCATGTCTCTTTCTCCAACTTCCCTTTCTACCCTTACCCACATCTTGTTTATTTTATAAAGCATCCATTGATTTGTTCTCTTGCTGTAGCCTAACTATTCTTTTGTTCTGATTCTGTTTTTCTTCATATAAGGCATATGTGATTACCCTAGAAATGTAATTTTCCCTGCATATATTTGGTCTTAGATGCAGCGTACAAATGGGGAAGCATTCTGGTTGTTTGACTCCACTGAGGGCATGAAAAGCTGTTATGTAAATTTTATTAATAATACTATAAATTCCCCCAAAGAGCAAAGAAAGCATTTGGTGTCTTCTTTATAGATCTTCTGTATCTTTTGGACATTTCTTTTAAAAATCTGAAGTTCTGATGAGTTCCCTGTCCATCTACATCAGTTTCTTTAAGTAACTCCCATTCTTACCTTGGGCATAAGGGAGCCTGTTCTTAATAGCTGAGTACTGCTCACTAACTCTCTAACCCCAATGGAGGCAGGGTGAACATGGTACAGTCATGGTCCCTGAGGCAAAAAGTCTCTGCACCTTATTGGAAGGGAGGGGAGAAATCAGAGGAGAGGGTGACAGGCAAAAGGGAAGTCCCTGCACTGAACCTGCCCCAGTGGGTAGACATAGATGTGGTCTGGGAGCAGTCCATTTCACTCCTTTCCCCAGAGAGAGGGGGAAATAAGGAGTACATCCAGTCGATTTTGCTTTCCATAGCAACACCTGCTGGTTACAGCTTTCTTAATTTGTTCTAGAATTTTCCCAGGAATTGACATCAAGCTCATCAGTCTATAGTTTCTAGACTATTCTTCTTCTCCCTGCTCTCCCCCCGCAATTTAAAAAAAATCGCAACATCTGTCCTTCTCCGGTCTTTCAGCATTTCTGTTCTCTTTCAAATGATCTTTCAAATATGGTCTGGTAATCCCATTTGGATTTTATCTGGGCCAGGAGACTTGATTTCACTGAGGTCAACTAAGTGATGCCTTGCTGTCTCCTAACTCATCTTGGGTATCAACTTCCTGTTGACTCTTTTTTTTGTTCTGTCCTTTTCAGTCCAAAAGTCCTTCTCCTTGGTAGAGAAATGAGAAGCAAAGTAAGAACTGAACATTTCTACCTTCTCTCAGTTGCCTGTTATCCTATCCACCCCAAGCAGGAGTCCTAGTTCTCTTTTGCTCCTCTTCTAGCTAAACAACAACAAAAAAGATCTTTTTTAAAAATTGTTTTTAGTTTGAGCACTTCTGACATCATTTTTACAGTGCCATATGACAATGTCATGTGCATCCTCTCTTGCCTTCTCTTGCTTCTATCTTCTGTGCATATTAAAAAAAAATCTATCTTAGTGGGTGAGTTTTCTATGTGTCCATATCAGTCTTTTCAGGTAACTTTCATTCATTCTCCTTTTTGGAATTTTTTTCCTTTGTATCTTCAGGGTCTGTTGTCTGAGAACATCACCACCCAGAAGACAGTCCAACATCAAAGAATTTAAAAAATGCTTCTGAGAAGCATTGACGTCCTTGTAACTGGAAGCTACTTCACTCTACTCATGGGGAAATCCTCTCATGAATTCACATTCCATTTTCTCCTAATCTACATTCAATTCAAACAAATTTGATGATCAACTTGGTTGGATGGAGGTTTCCAAATGGAATTCCAATAATTCCAGAGAGCAGTGTGGAATGGTGCTTTTTAAAAGTGATCAAAATGGGGAGCTCCATGTGAATGCTGGGGTAGAGCACTTGGGCAGAGCGGGGCAGGGTGTGGGACTGAGGAGTGGGGGTGTGCACCATGGTGGAGTCGCAGCAGCTGTGGTAGTGGATACCATGGTGAAAGGGCTGGAGTGGGAGAATATCTGCAAGATGCAGGGTACCATGTTCCAGTGCAGCGCCAGCTGCTGTGAAGATACCTAGGCCTCCATGAAACAAGTTCATCAGTGCATTGCACGCTGCCATGCTCCCTTGGTCCAGGCACAGGCCCTTGTCACCAGTGAACTGGAGAAATTCTAGGACCACCTGGCTTGATGCACCATGCACTACAATGACAAAGCCAAAGACTTGATGGATGCTGGGAGCAAGGAGCAGCAGGTGAAGAGGTAGCTAGAGTCCTGTATGACCAAATGTGTTGATGACCACATGCACCTCATCCCCACCATGACCAATAAAATGAAGGATTCCCTGACATTCATTGCAAAATGGAGTCATTGTTGGTCATCATCTGGGGTGGGAGAATGAGTCTACTTGTAAAAATGTTTGGAAATTTTTACCTTTCAAAATTTAGGAATGAAGAAATTGAGGTTGGTAGCAATTTTAAGAATACTTTTATGGGAATTTCACACCTGTCTCTGAACTCTGTTGGTTCCATTATGTGTTTTAGCCCAGAGGTGAAGAAATGGAAGAAATGGAAATGCTTGTATCTGGATTGGAGGTGGTATGGAGGGCTAATAGTACCCAGACCCATCCCTTCAGTGAAGATGACCTCTAATCTATCAGTTGGAGCCCTTAACAGCTTTCAGCTGGTTCAGAGGTATTCCATTCCTAGAAGCTGGAGTAATCCTTTGGGTTTATAGGTATTAGCAGTTCTCCTCCCCGACCTACCTCCCATCTGGTATTAATCCCTGAGGTAGCCCTTTGTTTGGTGCCAACTTCACATCTACCTGATGGAACCATTTCCCATAGAAAATTTGCCCTCTTCGACAGAAAGCAACAGCCATGAGCTCACTACTGATTGGAAAAGAGTAACACAGTTATGCTTTTCTCCCCAATATGAGAACCTGGCATTCAGAGGGGAGTCTGGGGAAAGAGGGTTGCTTGGATTACAGCACTGAGCAGCTCCCAGGTGATCTTTCCTTTGATCAAGACAGTGCGCATGCCAGCTTTCAGCTGGGACACCAAGCAGGATCATAAAAGGGAAATCTCCCGCCAGGCATGTGAGGCTCAGGTTCCTTCGCATTGGCTTTTACCTTTTTTTTTTTTTTTTTTTTAGGCAATGGGGGTTAAGTGACTTGCCCAGGGTCACACAGCTAGAAATGTCAAGTGTTTGGTCTGAGGCCGGATTTGAACTCAGGTCCTCTGGACTTCAGAACCAGTGCTCTATCCAGTGTGCCACCTAGCTGTCCCCTGCATTGGCTTTTATAGGACTGCTGCTCAGGTTACTTTTTCTTGCCCTTCTGGAAGGTACTACAGGGACAACACTTCAATTAAAGTTTTTTTTGAGACTAACATGAAATGGTTTTGAGTTAACCCTCTTTTTGCTTGCGGAACAATCTGAAGCCTCTTGCTTAAAGGAATGGTAGAAGATTGGTTTGGAAGAAAGTTAGTTTTCCCCAAAGCAGAAAAGGATATGATACCTGACCCTGGTCCTGCTCATTTGCCCTCTTCGACAGAAACAACTTGTTGAGAGGACCCTCTTAGGATGGGGAAGGGTAGGAAGACAACTTAAACTTCTAAGCAGGTTGCAAGGGAGAGCTTTTTTCTGCCCCAAAGTACAGGAGGCAGCTAGCACCAATTATCCAGTTATCACTGTTGGTTAAAACTTTGAGCAACATGTTAGTACCAGGCATTGTGCTGGAAAAGATCCTGTTCTCTTTATATCAACTTCTTATTGAATGCAATTAACATAGCCTTCCTGTTCAGTGTTTCAAAGCTATATCATATTTTCCTAGTGGTTTGATAAAAAAATAAATAGTTTGATTTAAAAAAAAAGTGATCAAAATGTCCATTAACTTTGACCCAGAGATCCCACTGCTGGTCATATAACCCCAGGGAGCTTAAAGACAGAAAGATCATACACCAAAATATTCATAGCAGCACTTTTTTTGTGCTGGCAAAGAACTGGACATAAATTAGATGAGCATCAGTAGGGGACTGAATTTTTAAAAATTTATTTATTTTTTATTAATTTATTTTGATTTATCAATAATCACTTCCATAAGCTTTTGAGTTTAAAATTTTTCTCCCTCTTCCTCCCCCCCCAAGACGGCGCACAATCTGATATAGACTATACATATACATTCCTATTAAACATATTTTCACATTAGTCATGTTCTAAGGAAGAATTAGAACCAATAGGAGAAACCACAAGAAAGAGGAAACAAAACCAAACAGAAGAAAAAAATAGTAAATAGTATGCTTTGATCTGCATTCAAACTCTATAGTTCTTTCTTTGGATGTGGATAGCATTTTCCATCATGAGACCTTTGGAGATATCTTAGATCTTTGTATTGCTAGGAAGGGTTAAGTCTATCAATATTAGTCATCACACAACGTGGCTGTTATTGTGTGCAACGTTCTCCTGGTTTTGCTCACTTCACTCAGCATCAGACCATACAAGTCTTTCCAGGTTTTTCTGAAGTCTGCCTGCTCATCATTTCTTATAGCACAATAGTATTCCATTACATTCATATACCACAACTTGTTCAGCCATTCCCCAATTGATGGGCATATAGCTGCTATAAATATTTTTATACATGTGGGTCCTTTTCCCATTTGTATGATCTCTTTGGAATACAGCCTTAGAGGTGCTATTGCTGGGTCAAAGGGAGGGGATTGGATTTTTAAAATTCCTCAATTTAACATTTAAATTCAGGGGCAGTTAGGTGGCTCAGTGGATAGAGCACCAGCCCTAGAGTTAGGAAGACCTGAGTTCAAATCTGTCCTCAGACACTTACTAGCTATGTGACCCTGGGCAAGTCACTTAACCCTGATTGTCTCAAAGAAAAAAAAAATCATCCCACATCCATTTAAATTCAAACAACAGCAGAGGCAGCATCAAGATATTGGAGTAGCAGGAAGTAGTACTTGGTCCCTCATTCCTGCCTCCAAACAGATCTAGAAAATGCATCAGATCAAATCTTGATGGGGAAAAAAGTCACAATAAGACATTTTTTTCCCACCCAGGTCAGCATAGGGAGACAGGTATGTGGACATTGGGGACAGGGTCTGCAGGAGGCAACCTAGCACCCAGGGAGAGGATGCAAAAGAGGAGGTCCCAAACCCATACCAGGACACTGAGCAAAGCGTGCAGGAACAGGTGCTAACTGGCAGCTTTGTTGCCCGCTATTCAGCTCTAGGTCACAGATCCAAGGTGAATAGAGGAGGGGAACTGTGCCCAAGGGTGGCACTCCAGAGGTATGGGGCAGAGGGTCCTGGGGAACAAGTTCAGAAGCCAGCAGCAGCTGAGTGGCTCAGACCTCAGGAGCAGAGTGGGGTCACAGTGCCACCTTCCAGCCCAGTCCAAAACCTGCAAAGGAATAATCAGTTCTGAAATCTCAGAACAAGAGAGTCTACAGTTTTGTCATTCGAAAACAGAGCTTTCCAGCTGGATGATAGTGGTTGAGTATAGCAGCAGCCTGGGTCAGGAACTTGCAGAGCTCACCAGAATGGCAGCAGACTTTCCCTTAGATTAGACCACTATGAGAGCAATGAAAGAAAGCTTACAGGACCTGAGCCTAAGCTATCCCTGAGATCCTAGAATAGTATAACCCTCAATACCTCCAAGAAAGCAACAACAAGATCATGCCAGACCTACCCTCCAGAAGTGTTCAGAGCCTTGCCCTAACATCAAATCTGAAGTCAAGAAGTAGGCTAATAGATTTAATAAACAAATAGACAAAAGGATCCCATCATAAAAAGCTATTATGATCACTCAAACCTGAAAGAGGAAAATTACTCCAAAACATCCATAAGCACAGCCTTGAAGAAAAACATAACTTGGGCACAAATTTAACTAGAATTCCTGTAAGAGATGAAGCAAGAGTTTACAAAAGAGTTTTAAAATGTTTTTTTATAAATTAAGTGAGAGTGCAAGAGGAAAAAAAATGAGAAGAAATGAGAGCTACAGAAGAAAGATTTGGAAAGGAAATTAACAGTTGGCATGTGAGGTACAAAACCTTACCCAAGCAACAAAATCCCTAAAAATTAGAATGGACCAAATGGAAGCCAATAACTCCAAGAAAAATTAAAACTAAATTAAAATGCTGAATAAATAGAAGAAAATGTAAGGTGTTTCATAGTAAAAACAATAGACCTAGAAAACAGATCGAGGAAATAATTTAAGAAACATTGGATGACCTGAACCTTATGACCAAAAGACATCATGTTTTAATAAATCTTAAGAAAACTGCCCAGATCTCTTAGAACCAGAGGGCAAAGTGGAAATAGAAAGAACCCATTGGTTACATCCCAAAATGAAAGCTCCCAGGAACATTATAGACAAAATTCAAAGCTTCTAGATTAAAAAAAAAATACTGCAAGCAGCCAAGAAGGAAGTATTAAAGTGCCAAGGAATCACAGTCAAGGTCACACAAGATTTAGCAGCCACTTTCATAAAGGAGCTGAGAGCTTGGAAAAAATATTCCAGAAGGCAAAGGATATGGGCTTACAGACAAGAATAACTTATCCAGAAAAACTCAGTATAATGCTACAGGAGAAAAAATGAACCTCTAAGTAAACAGACTTCCAAACATTCCTGATGAAAAGACCAGAGATATGTAGAAACTTTGAAGTTCAAACACTGGAGTTAAGGGAGACATAAAAAGGTAAACATGACTAAACAATCATAAGGGACTAAACAAGGATAAAATGTTTACATTCAAATATTGGGAGATTCTACATGTGTCCTCTCTGAAGTGGTCAAATGAGGAAAGAACATGTGTACAAAGTTGGGTACAGGGGGAAAGGGGAAAAGGGGGAATTAGAGGGAAAGAAGATTAAGAGAGAGATTAGTCTTATGCAAAAAACAAAAATCTTAATGATGCACAAAATATTTATAGCTCTTTTAGAGGTGGCAAAGAGAGTATATCTGAGGAGGTGTCCATCAACTGGGGAATGGCTAAACAAGTTATGGTATGTGAATGTGATGGAGTATTATTTTTCTGCAAGAAAAGATGGAGGGGATGGTTTCAAAGAAACCTGGGAAAACTTATACGAACTGATGCAGAGTGAAGTAAACAGAATCAGAACAACTTACACAATAACAAGAATTTGTTAAAGACAAACAACTTTGAAAGAATTAGTGAATCTGATCGGCATAATGACCAGCCATAATTCCAGAGGATTAATGATGAAACATGTTACTTATCACCTGGTAAAGAGATGAAGGATTCAGAGTACAGAGTGAGACTTTTTTTTGGGGGGGGTGGAGAGAGACTTGGCCAATGAGGGAGGACATTTGTTTTGCTTGCCCATATTTGTTTATAAAGGGGAGGTAGTTTACTTTTCTTTCTTTCTTAATTGGGAAGGGTGTTGGAATGGGAGGAAGAAAATGTAGATTTTTGCTATCTGAAGAGTGTGTGTGTATGTGTGTGTGTGTGTGTGTGTGTGTGTGTGTGTGTGTGTGTGATTTAAAAAACAAATTCAAATAACAAAGCCCTTCCCAATCTGGCTCCAGCCTACTTTATTTCTTTTCACTGCTCCTCACACTATGTTCTAGGCAAATTGTGTATGTGTTTATACACAGGAATAGGAAGAGGCAGAAGAAGACTTAAATGAACTGATAAAGAATGAAGTCAGCAGAATAGAAAAAAACAATATGGAAAATGATTTCTAACAATGTAAATGGAAAGAACAACCAAAAATACAAGTGTGTAATTATGACAGAACTGGGTCATGGAGTATTTAATAGTAGAGAAAAATGCACCTTTCTTCTTTGCAGAGGTGGGTACTGTAGGTTTGAAATATTGTACAAACTGCCAGATAGGAATAGTATGTTGCTTTGCCAAAATGCTTTTTTTCCTTTCAAAAAACTTTTTTTTTTTTTTTTTTGTTAGTAAGAGCTGGTAACTGGGTAGGGGAGAGAGAAGGATATATTTGGAAATAGAAGTGAAAGTGGCAAAAATAAAAGACATCAATAAAGATAAGATTGTTTAAAAAGTCCTGGTGTCGCTAAAGCTAGGAGGGAAAGCTCATATAGCAGATGATTAATAAACCAAATTTATGACA